TGGCTGTGTCAACAACGCATTGCATTCTTGTGCAGTGTGTACGACAAACGCACACACGCGCGGCCGCGGGATGTATGCGCGCCTGTGTGCGCGCACGCAAATACTTATTGGTAAATGTTGACTCGGGAACGGAGATGCGATGCGCTGTGGAGTCGAAAATAGCCTTAAAGGTTTTTTTTCGTTTTTATCAACATATTATCTACACATGTGTAACAGAGATCTTACACCATAATCAAGATCCATGAAAGTAAATTTTCCTCATTGTCTTATAAATAATAGGTTAAAAATCTGTTACTTTTTTTTTATTTATTTATAAGAAGGGAATAACAGCCTTCAAGTCTCAGTACTTACGTGCTAGGTTATGTCTATAGCCTATGTATAATAAGGAACTTCTGTGCAAAATTTCGTGCCATTGACCATCGGACTTTAGATTTAATGAATAGTGCTTTTAAAATCACTGTATGGATGATAAAATGAGTAAGCTTTATGTATCTCACTACTTTCGTAAATGTTATTAAACCGCAGTCGTCTGTGACTGATACCCGTTTAAAAGATCTATGGTCTGATACATTAAAATTTAAAGAGTAATCACGACGGAAATATCTTATTTCAAAATTTACTACGCCGCCCGACCGATAGCAAGCCTCATCCCGACAGAAATCGAAGAAACAGAAGATATAAGTGTTAGGGGTCAGAAATAAGCTCTATCTACATTATTCTACAACACTTCTCGAATTAACAAAATATAAGAAAACAAAATACTGTGGTAAGACGACGCAACGTCAATGGGCAGCGGCTATAACTTAACATCAGGTGAACCTCCAGCGCGTTTGCTACCTTTTGACAGTAAAAAAAATATATTTTTATAAGGAGACGACTCCATAGCTCTCTCGTTCATCTTCCCCTGACCTTGAGCCGAGTTGACCCGTTCCCGCGAATCAGCCGCTCGCTATGTTAGGACCGGGGGCGAAGCCCTGTCGCGGGGGGAGGGGTTGTTGGGTAAACTTCTCAACTGCAAGGGACTCCGCCGGCCGTTAATACGCGCAATCGTTTGATGCTGCACATTTAGTCTTCAATACAATGTCGGGGGAGCTTTCGAACGTTCATTGGTGTGCCCAACGCACAAATATTTGTGTAAATACTTAATAATGCAGTTGGTTCCGCTTGCCTGTAACAAATTTTTCTTAACTTTATTTCAGATTTCGTATATATATATATATATATATTTATATGTATATATATATATATATATATATATATATTGTATTTTTGTAGAAAACCACCAAAGCTCAAACTATCTGGAATGAGGATAGCGAAACTCTTGCCTTTGCATGTTTAACAGAATGAACTGATCTCTTCACTTAAGATTGAACATTAAAATTTGTAGAAAAAAGTACGAAAAGTTTGTCGCCGCTGTGGGAACCAAACCCATTTCTTCGGGTTTCGCGCCTTGACGCTTTTAGCCACTAAGCTAAACGGCTGATTGCCACACAGACGAAAATCTTAACGTCTTTCTTCATTGTTTTTTTAGCATTTGAAGCAATGATGGGGCATCCATTGTTATATCCTTTTCAGGATACACACAATTTCGAATATCGTTTTACAACATGATAATCAGTTGAAGATAGTAATTCTCGTGGAAAACTCATAATTAATATATCGAACTTTTTTAACAATCATTATATTACTTAATTTTATATGATACTACTTATTTATGAGCGTACGCTATTTAACAAATTCTTTATTTAACATTATACTAACGGTAACTATATACAATTGAGTGAAGTAAATGCTTTATATACTATTCAAACATTTGGTCCAATAAAAGATGCTGGGAGGATTTCAACCTAGGTGGCCATTGTTTTAAAATGGCCTCCGGTAATGATGTCGTAATGCATACACATCTGAAACCCGCAATCGTATATTATTCCATTTGCGATTCAATGACATGAAATCAGTATTTAGAATCCATTCAGTAATAGATCTGTAAAATAATAAATACAAAAGTTCCTTAAACTTATTTTATATTCTTAAAGAAACGTCAATTTTAAATCAATGCCGTTTTAATTTAAAATTCTTTTTAAAAGATTTGTACAGGAAAGAAACTTAACTCTTGCACATTTCCTTTTCATTTCTTTCTATTCAATTAATTTTTCTTACTTTCAAGCTGTGCTAATTTAATTTAATGTTAGGTTTTAATCTTAAGAAAAGAATAAGGACTATACAAGTTAGTTGATATTTAAAATATTAATATATATAATACGACCCGATTGGCGTGGTGGGTACTGAACCTACCATTAATAGATACTACTGAAAAAACATTGTGTGATGAATATAGTATTTTTTCCAGTGTCTGGGTGTTTATATATTTATAATAAGTATTTATTTACAAAAGAAATGTATGTATAAGTATGTTTATCAGTTATGTTTATCAGTTACTTAGTTCACATAGTACAAGCGTTGCTTAGTTTGGGGCTAGAGAATGTTGTGTAAAAAAGTGTCCTAAGTATTTATTTATGCCTCAAATATTAATTTAAAAAGGCAAGTGAATATTTGAGGAATAGGATATTTACTTAAAATGTCGATACCACGGCGGCACATTTCCTTATTAGCTATTAGCTTCAGCGCAGGAATGATATTTGTGCGACCCACAGATAATCATCAGATCATCAGAAGATCTGGATCTCTAAGAGCAAGAGAAGGAAAGAATTTACTTAAAATTCATACATGGTGCGGTTGCCGAGGTATTAAGTTCGGCGCTGAGGGTCTTGGGTTCGATTCCCACACGGGACAACCATTTGTGTGACCCACAGATAGTTGTTTCGCATCTGGGTGTTTGTCCCCATGATATTTGTGTATGTAAAATGTCCATTCAACACGGTACAATGCTATCCAACAGTAAGGGCAATGTTTTAAAAGAAAAATAAAGAGGCACAGGCAAATATAATCAGTGGAAATATAACGAGTCCGCCGATGATTCAAGTCTTATCCCAGCGATCAATGAAGCACGGTCCTGAGTTATCTCTTTCTTTTCTCTATTTCTCACAACTCTTCCCAAGCAACTTCAGGTGGTGGATACACCATATGAAGGGCAGTAAAATGTACTCGCCCGACTGCGGTGCCAAAAAGGAGGGCTATGTATTTTACCCGCATGTATGTCCCTCCCTATGATCCGTAGTATAATGTATAATTGTAGATGCCGTTAGCATAACTCTAAATAAAGATTTTGTTAAATAGCGTACGACCATAAATAAGGAAATCTAAAATACTAAACGGTATCTCGTTAATATTAAAATACTAAACGACTAGATCATATGTCGATAGTTTCGCCTATATTGCGCGAGTTAAATGAAAATTATGAAAAAATCAAAACGGTGGATTATTCGTGCCAAAATGTTTACATAAAAATATTTTCCGACCGGAGTCGGTTTTTTAGGATTCCGTAACAAAAGGATCAAACGGGACCCTGTTACTAAGACTCCGCTGTCGGTCTGTCGATCCGTCTATTACAGGGCTGTATCTCATGAACCGTGATAGTTAGCCATTTGGAATTGTCACAGATGATGTATTTCTGTTGCCGTTATAACAAAAAAAATACTAAAAAACAGAATAAAAAAATATTTTTTTCCGATTTTCACTGAGCTAATACAACAGCTTACATAACAGCTCCTGCTAAGCTGAATCTACCTTTCTGAGCTCCTGGTACATGGATGATTTCTTTTATGTGCAAACATTTGGCAAATGAGCAGGCATTTCAAATGACGTTAAGATTGAACAACGCCCGTGGACATCTAAAACACTTGACCGTTTGCTGATGCTTTTCCAACACGGAGTCATAAAATTTTTTGATGAAATTTTGATGACTCTGTAGCGCAGTCGCCAAGTTACGGGCTTCGTCTGCAGTCGTGGATTCGATTCCCACACGGTACAACTATTTGTGACCCATTAAAAATTGTATCGGACCCGGTTGTTTGTCCATGTAAAAAATCCTTACAACACAGGATAATGTTGTCCTGCAGTACGGACAATGTTTAAAAGATAAAGTGGGGCCCGGTTACTCCACTCACCAGACCACATCATTCGTGGGGCCGTGAAACTTCCTCTGAAGTGCCTGCCCATTCTTGCCACAACAGAAGCCGCTGCGTGCGCCCTACCACGTATGAACAAAAACTCAAAAAATTGCCACCTTTTCGTATACCCTTTATGGTTAAACTTTATCTGGTACCGTTTTTCTTAGTATCTTTATTTAACTAAAGCAAGGTCCTATGTAGTTATGTAAGAGGTCATTGAAAGGAAACTGACTCTACTCACTTTAAGCATTGGCACTTTTTTTTTCGGAAAAAAATCTTTCAAACTTATCTGTGCAGTTGAACTCGCCACTACTACGGTTCGACGTGTTCTTTATTTTCGAAGAAAAATAAATACAACATTCCACGCTTAATAACGTCCTTTATCAAAGAAAAACTTATTTTAAGACTATATAGTAAAAGTTGAAATTAGAGTAATCGTTGGAACATAATTAGCGGTATTTTTTTTCTTTTTTCTGCACCGCCCGTCTTTAGTTATTTCACTTGATTCTGATATCGATTCCTTATAAACAATTGGCTATCGTTTAATGCATATTACATGTAACACAGATAACCAGGGAAGCGATATGTTAACTTTTTTTTTAAATGAAGCATAGTAAAACTCATTCCGAGTATCACTTTCGCATCGATTGAGAAAAAATTCTGGGAAAATAACAGGTTATTTTTACATATGAAGTTATTTTCATGCTTTGATTTAAAGTGACATGTTAATATGATTATTTATACGGTTCTTTGGACGATTTATACAATTGGATATAAATAAAACAAAACGTTTTCAACGAAATGTAGGGGTTTATTTATTCTAAAGAAATTTATTTGCACAAATATGAATTAATATATAATGCTATCATCTTGTTCTTTCTTTGTCCACAGTTCAAATGTCGTAACTCAAACTAAATCGATATACAATCATAAAAAAAGCCTGAGCGCAGCTTCAGCGTGGACCGCGGTCTCAAGCCCTTCAAAATTTAACCGGTTCCGATTCGCCGTCCCTTTCTGGCGTGCGCCCGCGCAGTACCTGCGTCCCGTTTCGCCCTTCGGACATTTTTTCATCTCACTCTCGCCAGTGGCCCAACTGCCACTTTCCCTTTTCAAAGGACGAAGACACCGGGCGGCGGTCTCGCTCGCGCTCGCGCCGCGCACTATATCGCCGTCCCGCTCGTCGGGAGTCAGGATTTGGCCTTGAGACTGAGATGCAGACTCTGGTCAGAGTTATTTTTACTTTTTACCGGGAACGATGACTAAACGCGTTAAGAAGCCAGTGGCGAGTCTCCGGCCCGTTTTATGGTGTACAACGGACACGCGGCTGTGTGCGTGCGGGCACGTCTGCCTAACTTTTAATGGCGGCTACCAACGCCGTTGAATTCATAATTTGAACTTATTCATTTCTCTTTTTTTTTTTACCAAAACGTAATGACGCAGTTGACAGTAGCTTGACGTTTACGCCCGTAATGGCAATCAAAGTACAGTGTAGATTGTCGTCTAACGACTACGGCTTGTGCATCTGTTCCCAAATTAACATTTCGTTCATAATTCGATACCTATACCAGAAATGATGTTGCCTGTCAGCAGTGATTATTAAAGAGACTCTATAAACCCATTTATAGCATAAAACCAACTCTGGACTAATGTTACCGCTCGTGAAAGAAGAAATATCAAGAATAAGCCACGCGTATCTAATAAACCTAAAAAATATTATTAAATTATTTCAGTGAAGCACAGTAACATGACATGTCATACTAGCCGTTTCCCGCGCCTTTACTCTGGTGGACTTCGAGCTTAAAGGTTATCTGCGACTTAAGATGACGCTCCATATGAATCCAGTAACAAACATGATCTTTTAGAGAGACAAAATAAGCAAAGGTGAATCTCCAGCCAAAAAACTTTAACTGTGGTAGGGCCACGCAGCAGCCTCGGCTGTTTTATGAATGGGCAGGATCGTCCGGGCAAGTACCACGTCCTCACAGAAGACCGGCTTAAAGTGGAAGTATAATACTTTCGCGTTTCGTCTGGTGAGTGAGGTGGCCGGAGCCCAATTTTCAAAAGGTTGTCAACGCATATGTAGCCCTTGGGTGTAGCAGATGTCCATGGGCGGTGGTATTCACTTAACATCAGGTGAACCGCCTGCTCGCTTGTCAACTTTCACATAAAAAAAAACTATCCCTAAGCAAAAATCCTCTAAATAAAAGGCAAACAAAGACATTTTTGCATTAGCAATATTTGCAATGATAATAAATGTCATTTATCAAAGTCGATAGTTTCAACACAATTATATTTTGCGGAAGATGTTATATATAAAACTGGTCATAACTATAATTTCGGTGCTACGATATATTATTTATAACAAAAGGTGTTAATAATATACATAATGTATACAACCTACAACCACAAACAATTTCATATTGAAGCGAGTTTTCGACTGTATTTAATAATAAATACTGTTAATGATTTTTTTTTTCAATTTACGCTGATAAAATACCCTTACGACGGAACAGCTTGCCCGGAGCAACATCCTTGTTCAGACCCCGACAACATACCTTCGTATCTAATCTCGTACAGCTCTAGAAATTTCGACTTCAGATCGACAGAGAATCAAGCATTACTTCCATTAGGCATTAGGAAATGATCGGGAAATTTCATAAACTTGAATCACGAACGCAAATCAAATCCAGACTCGAAACAGCTATTGAAGCGAAATATTTTTAACCGACTTCAAAAAGAAGGTTATCCATTCGGATGTTTATATATTTTTTTATGATGTCCGGGCATCAGTTCGTCATATATAGACGGATTTGCAATATTTTTTTTTGTTCGAAAGGGTTTCATAACGAAATGGTCTCATATAAATTTCTTATAGATATGATGATGATTTTCGGAAATAGCAACGGAACTCTTCGAAATATGCCAGGAAATCAACCGCGATTGCTGTAATATAAAATAAAAAATAAATATGTATTGTTTTGTATGTAACGTTGTAAGAGTTACGTACATCATTTTATTTGGAGTCGGTTCTTTTTTTGTTAAAAAACTTTTGCCTTAGTAAAGTAAAGGTATAGAATCACATCCCTATCCAAACGCGGAGGCCGTATCTGGCTCTGGCTCTGGCCGTATCTGGCTAGCCATCGAGTTCTGCGTTAAATGAGTTTTTAATAATAGTTTGTGGGACACCCTTGCCAGGTGGGCCGATGGACTCAGAGAGATCGCTGGTAATAGCTGGGTGAGGAAAGCGAAAGATCGTGTGCTGTGGCTCGTGGGAGGTCAATGACCAGCAGTGGCTGCAATAGGCTGATTTATCGATAGATTAATAGTCTACGGATTAAAGGCAACAAATATCAATAAATTAAAAATATAGAATCCGCGCATTTGGACCCTCTACGAGGGGCGAGTAACGTGATACCTGATGCCGATACGAAGCTCGGCTATCAGACGACGAGGCGACGCGCTCATATGCAACGACAGACATTGTGTCCGACAAACTTGAAAGCTCGTTCTCGTCCAATATAGGTCATGAGACATCAGACAGATTTAGTGCGAAGAAAATTAACAGAAGTGTATTTGATGTATTTTAATATAGTTGTTTGCTAGTTTTAGTGGAAAAAGACTAAAAGACGGAAAAGTTATGGCAACACTCTTGCATTGGTAGCGAATTAGTAGTTTACTTAAAACCGCAACAAGAGATGATAACATGCATAAATTGGTTCATTTCTCAAATGAATTGGTTCATTAAGAATTGTTGACTGAAATTGACAACTTATGTCTTAACTTATTATTTACGAAATGGATGCTTGTAAAGCGCTAACTGACGACTCTATGTGCGATTGTTAGCGATAGATAATTTTTAGTTATTCAGATTTCTCACGACCAAGAATATGTGTTGCGTTCGCTCCAGATTCAAGAAAAATGTTCATGAATTTATTTTTCACAAAACTTCTCAAAGCTCACAACCACTTTCATTATCAAATAATCTCGAGGAGATGTGACGATCATTAGTAGAAGTAGTAGTGTTTTTATAAAAAAAAACCCTTGATGGATTTTATGTTTTTTTTTTTAACTTTAGACGTTTATAATACTTTGTCAAAGTCTATGTCAGAGGCCCCAAGAAATAGTGACGTTTTACGTCTCAGGATAAAAACTTTACCGAGTAACACTCAGTTATTAAAAGGCGTATTGATAAATGACAATTAACATTGATGTATTTGTATAAAGCGTATTTGAGTAATCATTGTATGTCTAATATTTTGTCAAAAAACAGCAATAAGCATTAAAATTAAATATAAGAGTCGTGGATCGGCCAATGGTATTTAGATATTTCTTTCAATTCATTATTCATTACTCTATTAAACTGCTACTTAATGATTTATTGATTTTAATTTAACATAGCGGAGTAGGACATTTGAATAGCTAAATGTCAAGGTAGGATTCTAATAAATCTCTTACATTATAGAGTAAGGCAACAGCACTTAATATAATTTGCTAAGTTATTAAAACTGTTTTTTCAATGTAAACTGTTGCCATTCTTGACATTGATAAATTATATTATCGTGTAAATTATGTAATTACCTACATATAAATAGATATCGCCATCTATCGGCGGAACGTTTCTACTCATGGGACTGAAAAAAAAAAAAACATACAAAAACAAAATAAGTAGGACATGCATTGCTTTTGCATGTCCTATATTTTTCAAAACGTGAAAGTCCCGACTAATTTTTAACTTTTTTTTCTTTTTTATGTAATTTATCAATAACGTTGATAAAATAACACTTTCATCAACACTTCAACTTTTAAGTTAATAAAATTCATCTTAAAATGTATACGAGTTAAAATATGTATAGTATCATAAGTTTAAATATATAAAAAGCACTTGCATACTGTGAGTCCAATTTATTTGACGAGACGAGAAAAAAAGATGGTGGAACAGTGTTGAAAGCAAAGAATATACCCGTGCCAACCTCAGACAAAAGCTTTCACAGATAACCAAAATATCTTTCCGCGAAACATGAAGAGGTAAAAAGAAAGCAAAAAGAATGTTTAAAATGAAATATGAGAACTTTGTACAACATATGTAGTTACATTTAAAATCACAGACTAAATAAACCTAATTTGCTTTGAGTTTTGAAATTTTATTACGAAAATTAAAATTAATACGGAAATTGTGATTTATAAACGTAACACATAATGAGTACAAGATATTGAAATTATGTCCAATATTCGACCGGTATGAACAGCGTTCACTGTATCTGCCCCGTCGTAATTTCTTTTATGAGCGTCATTACATTTACAATGTTGGCAAATCTGTATAACAGACAATATATTTTTTAATAAGCAATGTCTAGATGCACCGATGTCTTTGTGGTGTTGAGTATATAAATATGGTAGCATCCGTTTTTCCCGCCATTGTTCTTTTGATGACCTTATCGGGAGTGCTTTTAATTTGATCAATATTTCTCTGCCCGAGCCCTGTGATTTTTCCGTCACGATAGCAAAGGATCCGACGGCTTAAGAGGTAGGCTCAGATTTGGGTCTTTACATACAGGTTTAAACCTATAATAGACACCAGCTCTTGTCTTGTCATGTATTATGAGGAAAAACAAAATACATTATTATTATTATCATACATTGGTGGCTACTCTTCTTGGGGAGGGGCCGGGTGGTATTAGAGACGGAATTAAATGTCTTAACGTAGATTATATATAAATACATTTATGTCACTAAAAGTCACGTGTAGGCTGCAGAACTTTTTTTAGGACGAATCAAATCGTCTCGATTCAAAGTTTAACTATAACCATTAAGCGTGGAAATGCAACTAGCGTTCTTGGCACGATATCGGGAGGGCTAGATTTATTAGATGGCGTGTTATTTATTTTTGTAAACATTTTTGATAATTTTTAGTCCAGAAAACATGTAAAGCGTGGTCAGTGCAGAGACAATCGCACCATAATCACAACACTATCATAAAAAAAATGTGAAAGTACAATAAATATCACGAGTACAGACCTAGTCAGATCTATATTATTACTTCTGTAAAACGAAGTTTATATAGTTTTATATTAGTTGTAATGTTATATATACGGGGTTCCTACATTCGAATGCAATGATTTTTCGTACTTAATTTAATTTTGTTCTAGATTTGATTCCTGTTTTTCAGTGATAGTTATTTAAAAACGGGGAAGAGGGCGCCTCGTAGCTATGAATTCTACAAATCAAAACTAGTGTCTGCATAATTATAATTATCTTCGTTATTTACCAAATGCCAAGTGCTCGATAACTATAAATTAATAATATTACCATAAAAGTAGTTTTCAAGAATTAAAGCCATTTTAATACAAAGTTTTCTTGTATTAATTAATTTTTACTTTAGATTTTTTCCCAAAAAACCCCGTAGCTCGATTCAATTAGCGTTTGTAATTCCTTTCGATATCAATGTGTCTCCAAGATAAGTGATTTACTAACTCTCATGTATCCGGTTAAATAAAACCATTTTAAGGATTTTATCACTGTTTATTTTGTTTTAAAATTTCCGAAGTTTAGAAAACTTTACAACATTCATGGTCAAGGAACATACAGTATTTTTACGATTACTTTGTTTTTTACTTTAGTTATTTTATCTGCACTGAAGATGATGTTTAAAAATCAGTTTAGTAGATAAACTGTGGAATAATATTCGGCTCTACGGGGTTACTGTTCGACAACACAATGGCATAATCCGTGTGTTGCTGAGACTTTATAAGTATCATACAGTTAGAAATTTAAATTGTTTATAGTGCTAATCTTTTCGCTTAAGATTTAACATTAAAATATGTAGAAAAAGTACGAAAAGATTGTCATCGCTGTGGGAATCGAACCCACGTCTTCGGCATTCGCGTATCATACAGTTTGTATTTTAACTGTATGATGGCCAATCCCAGGTGTTGATCAATTTCAATCTGTAGGTCATACAAATACTTTTCACGGGTGTAAATCAAACTGACGACCGCAGGGGCCAAATTTTCGTTCGTCAACGGCGTTAGAATCTCATTTAAATGTATGAGAAAGCTATTTTATTTTATTTATGTTTGTACGAAAAATATTGTTTTACGCCAAAGTATCGTGTCATTAAAATGAGGAGTTCTATATAACGGTCCGTTCGCTAAGAAACAAGCATTCATTATTAAAATAACACCATTTACTAACTTCGGCTTCGTAATACGCAAATAATTGCAAACGCGCGGCAAATGCGCGGCAAAAAATACCAAAAATGTGAATCAGTTCAGTAGCGCGTGCTGTCTATCGCGTTATACTCTTCGGACACTAATTTAGCAGTCGACAAAAGGCGTTGAATATAAAGGCTTTAATTACGTGCCAACTTTTTTGAACGCATCGCGGCTGACGGCGAGTGGGGTGACCACGCTGTGAGAGTGTTTCTAGGACAGCCTATTTGTAAAATCGATTGCATATTAGTGAAAATATAGGAAGCAATCGATGCAAAACTTCTCTATGGAGTCAGTGATAGTGGCTGTGTGAACGTAATTGCGAACTCATAGCTCAAAACCTCACAGGAAAGGCCTGAAGGAGGTCGATGAAACTTAGAGAGCTTGAGAGCACTAAACTATTCACTAGATGTCCTCACCGGGCGAAATCTACACAATTAAATCTAAAATAGATTAATAAATTGGATAAAAGTTATAGCTTACTGCTTTTTTAATAAATAGAAAACTATTATATATTGACTAGCTGATCCAGCATAAGTTGTTTTTCCATATAAAGCTATAAATAGAGGACTTCTACTCGACGAAAGGAATATTCCTATATATATATATATATATATATATATATATATATATATATATATATATAGATCCATAAATAAGAAGACGTAGTAGTTGTTTTGTTAATAAACACCACTAATGCATGTCACATTTACTCGTACAGCCGCAATGATAATGAGAACATAACATCTCAAGTGATACGATCCTGAGACATTGAACTACAATGTCTATAAATGTCCCACTGCTGGGCAAAGGCCTTCTCTGTACAGAGGGGATCAGCATAGCCACCACTCGATCCCACTGCGGGTTGGCGGAGTTCACATATCTTCGAAATATTTTTCGAAAATACGCAGGTTTTCTCGTGATGTTTTCCTTCACCGCTGAGCACGTGATAAGTCAGCACTTCAAATTAACAATTTCATTGGTGCCGGCGCCGGGGATCGAACCGTTGCTCGAGTAAATTGAATTAAAGGCGAGCCCCCGGAAATTGAGCTATAACGACTCAGCTAAAGTTAACACTCGTAAACATTATCTCATATTACAGAACAGAGGAACCAATAAACAGTTCATCTAATGGTTACTGGTCACAGTCAATGGAACGTCACACCTCCAGAGGAGTTGCAAATGCTTACCGACGTTATAGAATAGTGTAAGTTCATCTTGAATTGCAGAGGAGGTAGACCTCTGCGACATAATGGAAATATGGAAATAATTCTACTTTACCATATATTGCCATATATGCTGCCATGCAACAAATTTTTGCATCGAGTCTGATGAAAGTCTCAACCACATATGAATATCGGTTATTTAAATCTAAAAGATGGCAGCCATGTAAGAAAACCAAATTATATATAACAAGATACAAACAGATATTCGTGTCGAAACAATTTAAGCTCGATCGTCGACTAATCCAACCGTTCGGAACCCAAATCGAGAATACGTAGCAGCTGCTTTAATGGCCTAACTCAGGATAAAGAGTAATTGAATAGCTAGAGCGTGGTGCCATGATGCTGATTTAAACTTTATTCATTCATTGTTAATTCTAGTAATTGCACTCAGTGTCATAATTTCTTTGGATATTCACGTTATGTTCAGTGGTACAGGCAGTATTGTGATGAAACCTGCACATCCTATTCATCATCATCCTCATGCCATTATCCCACCTATACGTTGTTAGTGGTATTAACCTGTTTTTTACTAATGGCCACCTGCCTGACGTCAACCCTCCTACGGTACAAACACCCAGACACAGAACAACTTGTGGGTCCGACAAACACTTGCCACGTGTGGGGATCGAACCCCCAACAGAAGCTATACCACTGTGCCATTCAGACGGCATATATTAGAAGCAACAAATTTCGAAGGGTTCTAAGATAATTATACAAACTCATCTCTCGTGGTTCTTCCTAAAGAGATCTCGAACGCTCAAAGGTTTATCGTCTTTAAATATCCTTTAATTAATTGTTTCACTATAAATATGGAAATCCTGATTAAACTGATGGTTACTCCAGCAACGCATTTCGATATAATTTATCAAAATTAATTGTGTATTAAAAACCTCATCTCAAAGGAGGGTATGGAAACAAACTATTTCGATTCTCCTTTTTTGGACACAGCAAAATGCAAAGCAAAGCATACCTGGGGTGTATAATTAGCACAGTGGAGAGGTCTTGCGAGCAAATGCTAGTGTACAAATCGATCTAGAATTATTAGGTATTAAAGCAAAATTATTTCTGTATGTCATTAAGGCAGCCTCACATTATACATTTAAAAATCCATCTAAGCATGATATTAATGATTTTCAAAACATTTTGATTAGTATTAGATGATAAAGTGTACGACTTAATATTTCCATATCCAAACTCAAGAAAATCACTTAAACACTTCGAAATTATTAGAGATATAAAACAGCTGACAATAATATAAATAGAATAGATTTAATACACAATCCAGCCAAAAAAACAGCCAAACCAAAAAATCATGTATGTTGTATGGGAGAATTTTGTATACTGTTTTTTAGTATTTGTAGTTAACAACAAAAGTTGAAAATTACAACAAAAGTTGAAGTAAAATTTCAACTGTCTAACTAACACGGTTCATATTATCCATCTGTCACAGGCTGGTGACAGAAGGGCAGACGAATAAACGGACAGACAGACAGACAGCGGAGTCTTAGTAATAGGGTCCCGTTACCCTGTACGTGCGGAATCCTTAAAAGGCGGGAAAGTAAAACATTTTTAAGTTACATCTTTTAAAACGGCAAGCATTGCTAAAATTAAATGTTTATTAATGGAGCCTTGGTGAGAAGACATTCTAATAAAGGTACCAGTATCACTTTAGTGAACTTCCTTGTCCGTGCAACACATTTTAATAAAGACTCGTAAGATGTTTTAGGAAAGTTTTTTTAATCTGCATCACATCACGATTTTCTCTCTTTAGCTTTCTCCTCTTATGTCATTAATTACTATTAGTGGCTTTGCTCGCGCCATTTTCGTTCATTAAACGTAGCTTTTCCCCGCACGTGGTGGGCCTGAGACGGCGCAAGTGGCACGTGGAGGAACAACGCATCGCCGAGCCATTAGCCGCGCCGTAAAACGACCAATCGCCGCGACCTTGCCGCCGCCGCACCAAAAAGACGCACCGCTCCTGACCTACATACGGGCTCGCGAGCTAAAAACCAACGGCGATAATAAGACGAAATGATAATAAATGTAAAGAAGAGAAAAAAAGGAACGCTGAAGCGCGCCGAACGGAGACGGGAAAAATAAAAATAATAACCGGGCAGATTACGGTCGCCGGTAGCGGGCGCGTTTTTCATTCACGCTCCGGTAGGATAGTTCTCTTTTTAAACGGGCCGCGGTACGTGCCGCGAACTGTTGTCTCGTTCGTTTCCTTTTATTTCCACCTCTCACTCTGCTCCTTTTTCTCGTTTTCTCCTTCTTTTTTCCTTTTCGATCGTCTCTCGAATGTGGAGCTGCGTTTTTATCGTTTCCCCGGCGGCCCGCGCTCGTCCCATTCATGGCCGCTCGGGCGTTTTTGTTGTTTTGAAACAATTACGCGCGCCCCGTACGTTTTGCTCGTCCGCGGTATGCTGTTTATGTTTTTTGCCGTTGCGTAACGGGCCCGGTCGAGTTATGAGGCGGCGAATGAAGAGGTCGTCGCGATTACTGGCCGCCTTTTCTCTTTTTCTCCGCTCGATTTATTCGCGCCCTTCCGAGCGGGCCGGACTAATTGAAACAGGACGCGAGTTATGGCGTCAAAACGAGAAGTGTCAAATGGACTCTGGCCAACGCCACGTCAATAAAAAATAGAAAAGTTCTCCAATCAAATTTCGAAACATCATACGAAGACAGCCTATTGATATCATGCGTGTAAAAATCTAAGGCTTTGATTTACACACACTGTAAAACTTTTCCGAGTGAAAATTGCTTTTCATAACCGTAACGTGTCTTATAAGTCAAACAAACGAGTAAAAGCCGCCTTTTCGGTGACACTACGGCCGCTGCGTAAACGATAGTCGTGCAATTAAAAGGTAAGTGCGACGCGTACGTGTCGATTTTGATTCCGATTTATTTCCAGCAACGCCGTCGGTCAGGCGTCGCGCGTGTACGTGACGAAATCGCGAAAGTCGATCGCTGAAGTCATGCTGAAGTGCTTGCTACCTATTTGGCGGGCTTTTTTCGACGGCGGCACAATTAGTTTACATGCTTCCTGTTCGCCTGGTTCGTCTGATGCCCGGTGCAACTAAATTTGAATAACGAAGCATTTCATTCGGTTCTCTCTGTTTTTTTTTAAAGTTTTTTGTCTTCGTCTGACGCAGAACCGATGGGCTAGCCAGAACCGATGGGCTAGCCAGAACCCACGGGTTTGGGTCGCTGGTCATCTGAGAACCAGTGGGCTTTCCCGACAAGGCTGCTCATTCCTGCAACAGCAGAAGCTACTGCGTGGTCCTACCAAAGTAAAAGTTTCTTCTTGTGAATACATTTTATAGAAATTACTTTAATTACTCGGACACCTATTGTTTTTTCATATAATTGAGACGCTGCCACTTCAGTTGATATCTATTTAAATGACATTTGTAATTAAACTGCATTGAGGTTTTAACTGTAACATAAGCGACTTATAATGTTCGGTCCATAGTTCTAGATCACGTCTTCAAACGCAGCAAGTGTTAGGAAATGGTAACTTTCTAAACATTAAGCAAAATTACACGTTTGTATACTTGTGTTTTTACAGAGTAGTTCAGGATTCCATTGTTGTTTTCATACCTTGATGAGCTTATTGATCTTAATATGTGATGTTAAGTCAAAGTATACCAATCAGATGAACTACAGATTATTAAAATATCAAAGGACGGTTTCAAGTAAATTCCAATTTATTTTTTAATCGGTGATTTTATTTGACTCTTAAGGCCCACATACAAGGAGGCAAGCGAGTTGCCGGTTTATCTGAAATTAAGTGATAACTGCCGCCCATGGACATTACAACACCCGTAGGGTTGCCGATGCGTTGCCACCTTTAAATACAGTTGGCCCCGGCTACCACACTCACCAGACGAAACTCAGAATTGTAACATTCCCACTACACGTCGGTCTTCTGCGAGGCTGTGGTTCCCCCGACGGATATCCCGATTCTGCAAGTGAAGTGTTCCGTGGCCCTACAACAGTGTTGGACCGTGTAACTAAAATTGCCGAAAGGCTGCGTTAACTTCGCGTCAATTGTCAATGTTTAAAGCTTTGTTGTCTATGTTCAATAAAAGCTTTGATTATACTTGACAAGTAGACATAACCATTGAAACGACTTGGCTGCGAGAGAACCCATTTTTTATGTCCAGGACTGTTGTGGCAACTGTGGAAGCCAATTCGACGCGGTCATTTTAAATCCGTATTTTATCCGTGAATAACAGCTAAAGATTCATGAGTTTTTTACAACATAATCTGTGATAATCAGAGATTCGAAGAGTATGGTGAATAAACCAGAATTTCTCACAATAAAGAATCTGTAAGAAAAAAAATTGACAGTTGACGAGGTTATTTCACGTGTTCGAAATATTTCGCTCTACTCGTATCATCCTAATTCTTGTTAACGCGAAATGAACTCATAAAATACTAGAGTCTAAGTTCGATTGCTGTTTCTACTAACAGCAAAAGCCGAACAGAATTATAATATAAAGTTCGGGATTTGATTTGAAACGTATACGTATACTTGATTCAATAGCTATTTTGAAACTAATTTTCTGAAATGTTATTATTTAAAAAATATACAAATTTCCTCACGACGTTTTCTTTTACCGCTGAGCACGTGATAAGTGAGCACATAATTTTGGGATTCGAATTTTGGTTGCTCGAATACATTGAATTAAAACAGAGCGCCCGGACACTGAGCTGTCACAGCAAAAAGGTTTTTTGAGTCTTAAAAGTAATGTATTTGATTAAAATTTGTAGAAAGAAGGACGCAATGTTATTCACCGCTGCGGGAATCAAACGTCTCCTTATTTCTTCATTTTCTATTTTTTAGGGTTCCGTACACAAAAGGTAAAACGGGAGGAATCAGATAGAGTAATGTTTGAGTCGACGGCGGTGCAATCCATTCGCCCTTCTTCGATATCTTCGGCAGGGTCCAATATTGAGGAGTTAATTGCCCACGTATCGGCGTCCGCATCTCGGCCGCGGCCGGGGACTCGAACGGCACAATGGCCAGATCGCGATCGCTAACGGATCGTCATTACACGGTGCTTTTTGTTGCGGCCCGTAGTAAAAAGTTCTCTTTCAGCGTTCCGTAGTGGCGACGTCGCGAGACGGTCTCGTCGGCGAACGTGATAACGAAACTTTGAAATATAGACTTCTTGATTTTACGCGAATATTATACATATTAAATGAAACTAGTTTACGGATTTTATCGCGTTTTTACCATTTTTGACCATGAACGCTGGAAAGGGTTCGAAACGTCGGGCATTTCAAAAACCAAAACAAAAACGCGATAAAATCCGTAAACTAGTTTCATTTAATATGAAAAATTAAAATTTTAAGGTAATCAAGTAAAGTAGTGTCCCACTGCGGGGCAAAGGCCTCTTCTGAACAAAGGGTATTAGGAAATAGTCCACCACGCGGCCCCACTGCGGATTGGCGGACTTCACATATCTTGGAAATGTTTTTTTGTTGTTATTATTTCAGAAATATGCAGGTTTCCTCACTTTCTGCTGATGCTTTCCTTTTTGTTGTTTGATAATAATTATTAATATATATTACAATTACTATGTATATATTATAATTATGTACTTACTGCAATGACATCATTTTATTTCGTTCGTAAATCATATAAGTCGCTGATTGATTTGTGGCGTTCTACTGCAACAATTTTAAGCGCTTATTCCGTATACAATAAATGTCATCACTTTTTTTTTCAGTACCACGTAAATATGGGCAAAACGAGTTTCAGGACCATTTACATATGTGTCAAACATATCAGTCTCTATTAAGGTTAAGCTTGAACTTGAAGTATTTTACCATCATCAATAAGAGATGCAGCGGAATAATATTCTGTATGGCGGAGTCGATTTGAAATTCCCTGTGTCGGATGAAACTTAGGACGGCCGTTAAAATACCGTTTGTATAATTTTCAACGGTTCTCCTTTTCTCTTGGGGTTTCTGTTATTGTCAAAGGCCAACGTGCATTGCGCTTCCAACAGTGGCGCCCATGCCAACACGACAAGTGTCAAACTCGCGCCGGGTCGGAAGAAGACGGCGACAAAAAATCAACTCCCGAGCGAAAGAGATAGCGGACACGATTAAAAAAAAATTAAGGCGGCCAGCACGCAATCATTGTCCAGAGGCTCGCACTTTCTAACTTCTGCGGTCTTGTCGGAATGTAAATTGCGGCACGCGCTTAGCAGGAGGGGCATAGTTTAGATAACGACAAAACAAACACGCTAGCTATCACGTCTTTGTGCATTTAACTCTTAACACGTAGTGTGACAGACGATGCTATACACGAAAAGTGTATCCATACACGAACATTGTAATCGAAAATGAATCGAGAATGAAACAATAATCACTATAGAAAGCACGAAAAACGGAAAACTGCCATGATAGCTCAGTGTCCGAGCGTTCGCTTTTAATTCCATAGGTACTCGGGCAACCTGATTTCAAATCCCGGTCCGAGCTACCTTGTCACGTGCTCAGCGGTGAAGAAAACATCGTGCAGAAATCTACATTTATTTTTCTAAATGATGTTTTAAAAAAATCGAAGATATGTGAATTCCGCAAATATGTGGTCGCGTAGTTGACTTTTCCCTAATACCCTCTCTAGAGGCCTTTGCCCGGCAATGGGACATATCTAGGATATTGTGATGATGCGGTACTACGTTACTGGGGTGGCGATGAAGTTGTCTTCACGATCATGATGTGCAGAAGTAACTGTTTGGGCGTGAGAAGGTGGCAAGTGAGCTTCGTTCCACCCAATTTTAGGTGATTTTCGCCACCTATTGACACCTACAACACGCGCGGTGTTGCAAATGCCACCTCTTAATAAAGTGGGACCCGATTATCACATTCGCTGGACGAAAAGCAGAAGTATAAAACTTCAACTTCACACCAGTCTTCATTGTGGTCGTGGTTACTTACCGTAGGCACCATAGACAAAAACAAACGTTTTTCAGATTGGCAACGCATCTGCATCTACATGGGTGTTGTTCCAGTCAGATAATAGCTACCGATCGAGCCGAGGTCCGGCCCTCTCGGGCACCCTCGAATCGGAATGCTAAACGCGTGCTGAGTGACAGCCCAAGCCGAGGTCCCCTCTCGGGGACCCTTGAGCCTGATCACTCCATGGAGCGCCCCGCCAAAGCGCCCTAAGAGCTTGGCGGCCTCCCAAACCGGTAACAATAATAGCGTGACGGCCCGAGCCGAGGCTCCCCCGGGAGCCCTCGAGCTTAGTCACCATAACGCGTAATAATAGTACGCCGAGGTTCAGGCTAGGCGCCTCGTGCGCCAGGCCACCTCAAGTCCGTCGGATCTGTGAAGGCCCCTAAGGCCAACAGTGGCTCATCCAGCCAAAAAAAAAAAAAAAAAAATGGTGTTGTAACAGCCAATGGCTATACTCAGTTGAAACCTGGTGAACCGCTTTGTTTTTTCAAATAAAAAATGGACCTTTTTTAAATAAAAAAAATATGGCGTAGTGTTTTTCCATAAATATGTGTATACATTTAGATTCAGTTTATTTTTAAACATTTTAAAGTTTTCTTATTTTGTGTACCTATTTGTACTGCTGTCATTCGTTAGAAGATGCTGTTGCCGAAACGTACTCTCCATAGATCCGTTATTAGCGACTTAACGGTCGAACCCTAATCATCGATTCACTTACCCGTATTCACTTAACAGAAATAATGGCCGAGTTACTTGTTGCTGCCGGTTAATTTGCCACTTAGCCCCGTCACTTTTTCACCTGATGATGAGTCGGTTCTAAGTAAGTGGATTAAAAAAAAGTTCGAAAATCTCCAGAGAAAGGCGGAACGGACAAGATTGCACGGCGATTTTTTTATCACTAATCCAAAATAAAAAGAAGCAAAGCACATTTTGGCGATAATTGCTTCTGTTTAATGGTTCTTGAGTAATGAAAAATAAAAATATTTTAAATAACGTTTCTTTCATCTGGTCTCATCACTTTAAAATATTATTCTTTTATTGTGATCAATTCTTAGCAAATGCGAAAATCTTAGCAATCGACACTTACAAATAATGTTTGTCTTCTATGTGTTCCTGGAGCATTCAGCAGTTCTGCAGACTGCATTTTTGAAATATGTCTTAAAAAAATAATTATAAATAAATTATACAATAAGAATCAAATACATAAAATAAGAATTACCATGTGGTTTTTAATCTTTGTGCATCGCGTGAATTTTAATAACTTGATTATGAGGGTC